TAAGAGTCGAAATCGACTTGACTTCAGTGAGGAGTTTGTGTGTGTGTGTGGTTCAGTGTTTGAGGTTCCATGAGGGAGACTCACAAGTGATCCTGGCCAATGAACCTCATGTGTAGCCATCATACGTCTGTCAGTAGAGGCTTACGTGTTTCCATGATGGTGAACAGATTTCAATGAACCTTCCAGTCTAAGACCAGGATAAAAGGTCTGGCAATTTACTTTAGAAAAAATAGTCATTGAAAACCCTATGGATCATAATGATCACCCTGCAACCAGTCACTGGGCTAGCATAGGACCAGACAGTGTTTTGGGTCATGTACAGGGGCCAACTCAATGGAAGTTAAAGACAACAACAACGTGGCCATTATTAACACTCCATTGTCTAGCTGTCAGGAATGAAGCACAAAGAAGTTAAGTAACTAGCTAAGGATCAAATTGCTAGTTAAATTGTGTCACTGGGATTCAAACCCAGATTTGCCCAATTCCAAAGTCACTGTTCTCAACTATTTCATAAAGATGTTCTCATTCACCATCAGGGTTTCTTTAATTTAGCGGACCGGGCAGTGGGTACCCTCTTCTTTCCTCCCTTCTCCGTAAATGCCCGTCTGTACACTTGGTCAAAGAAGACAGCATTCCCTACTAAGAGAGGACCACCCTTTGGCCAAGCACATATGAAGTAACTGCTCCCCTATTGGATCCTCTAACAAGCCCTAGGAAAGACACAAAATAAAACCAACAAGCTTCCAGGTCTTCAATCGGCCCCTCAGTATGCCTTGCCTTGTCTGATCATGGAGAAAAATTTGGGTCCTAGGCTCCTACTGACTTCCAAGATCCAGAAACACTTCTTAGTAATCCCCGCAGAGCCTGAAAAATGCTTATGGCACAAGTGTGATATCATGAATTTACTTGATATGGCTTTACTATGCAAAGTCTTGTTATTATTGTTAAGTGCCATTGAGTTGGTTCTGACTCATAGAGACACTGTGTAAGATTTCTGAAGAGTGGCTGGTGGGTTTGAACCACCAACCTTATGGTTATCAGTCCAGTGTTTATCCTACAGTGCCACACCAGGACTCCCACCAAGTGACTGTGTATATTGTTGTTAGGTACCATTGAGTAAGTACCAACTCATAGCCACTCTATGCACAACAGGTGAAAACACTGCCTGGTTCTGCACCAACCTCAATATCATTGCTACGTTTGAGCTCTCTTTCAAGATAAAACAGACTGTTTAAAGCAGGGGAAAAAACCATAATAAATTACAGGTAACCTCAAAAAATAATATACCTGCACATCAAAATAAAGAAGAAAATCAGAGATTTAGTAAACATTGATACAACAGAAATGGAAATGAAAAGGAAACCCACAAATAAAATGAACTCAGCACAGAAAATAATGTGGAACAAAGAATCCAGCAGCATCACAAACACACATACACATAGAGAAAAATGACAGCAATCAATTCATACCTACTAATAATTACACTTAATGTGAACGGATTAAATGTACCAGTTAAGAGACAGAGCAGAAGGGATATGCAAACTGGATCCTTCAATATGCTGTCTATAAGAGACATATCAAAAAGATGGAGACAGCCTAAATGTCCATCAACAAAAGAATGGTTAAACTTTGGAACATTTACATGGAAAACTACAAAACATTGAAGAATACCGATGAATCAGTGAAACACCTCATAACATGACTGAACCTGGGAGACATCACGCTGAATGAAATTAGTCAACCACAAAAGGACAAATATTGTATCAGACCAAGGTTTTAAAAAAGTTTTTATAAAAGGTTTTCTTGATAAATAACTATGATGGTTACAGGGAGGTTGGGGAGGGATATTTATTCATGAGCTAGAGGATAAACACATGTTATACGGGTGACAGGGCAAGTGATATATAACAACAGGGAGGTTAGCAGCGGAAAGCTGAAGGTAGCGGGAGACATGGGGAGGAATGTAATAGTTAAAGTGAATAATTAATACTATTAACAGTTGGTACATGCAGGGGACTGCAACCATGTAATGAAGCAACGTATATGATTTGCTGAATGTAAAACTGATCATCTGCTCTGTAAACCTTCACTCAATTCACAATAAAAAGTTGAGAGAGAAAAAAAAAATTAAACATATGGAAAGAACATTCCTACAGGAGGGTTGTGACACAAGAGACTCATCAAAAATTCCCTCAGCAGCCTCCAGAAAATGCTTTAAGATAATTACCCTGTGAACACCTTTGTAATTTCTTCCTCTTAATTACATATTTACAGTAACCAATCCAACAATCCAAATAGTCCATAACCATGTTTCCAACCAATCACTGTAAATCCCTACTTTGAGTTGTTCCACCTCTAGCTCCCATAATCTTGCAACTTCCAATCAGAGTATTGTGCTATTAATTCTTGATTTTACCTCATAAATATGTCTCTGTTATGCTACTATTTTGGAGCATTTTACTTCACTTTGTGAGTTATGACATGCTCTGGTTTGACCTGTTTTTGAACTTTTCAATAAATCTCTTTGCTTTTACTTTAACAGAATCCATGCTCTTACTCAATGACAATGTGTATAAGTAACCTGAAGGAAGGGAGGGAGTATGAGCTCACGAAAGTCTGAGTGGGATGAAGCAATGGTCATAAACAAAAACCGTTTGCTGTGGAGCTGACTCTAACTCACAGTGGCCTGACAGAACAGAGTAGAACTGCCCCCCAGGGTACTCAAGGTTGATGAGCTGATTAAGACTCAGTGACCCTAAAGGGAACAGTAGGATTGCCTCATAGGGTTTCCATGCCTGCGATCTTAATGGAAACAGAATTCCACATCTTTCCACTGAAATAGCTGATGGGTTCGAAACACAGACCTTTCAGTTAAAAACTGAGTGCTCAACAACTGCACTGCTAGGGCTCCTGGCAATGGTAAAGGTCCTCTAATTAATTATCAGAAGTGTAGCAGTTCCCACTACATTATTTTTGTTAGGACACTTTGTTGTTAAGTGCTACTGAGTCAGTACTGACTCATAGTGACCCTATGTACAACAGAACAAAACACTGCCTGATCCTGGGCCAACATTTCTTGCTATGCCTGAGCCCATTGACGCTGCCACTGTGCCAATCCATCTCGTTGGGGGTCTTCCTCTTTTTCTCTGACCCTCCACTTTACCAAACGTGATACCCTTCTCCATAGACTGGTCCCTCCTGACAATATGTCTGTAGTATGGAAAATGAAATCTGGCCATCCTGACCTCCAAGGAGCACTCTGGCTGTACTTCTTCCAACATAGATCTATTTGTTCTTTTGGCAGTCCATGGTACTTTCAATATTCTCCTCCAATACCATGAGTCAAATGCATCAATTCTTCTATGATCTTCCTTACTTTCACATGCATATGAGGTTATTGAAAATACCAAGGCTTGTGTCAGGCGCATCTTAGTCCTCAAACTGACATCTTTGCACTTCAACACTTGAAAGAGGTCTTGTACAGCAGATTTGTCCAATGCAATACATTGTTTGATTTCTTGACTGCTGCTTCCATGAGTGTTGATGGTTGATCTAAGCAAAATTAAGTTGTGGACAACTTTAATATTTTCTCTATTTATATGGATGTTATTTATTGGTCCAGTGGTGAGAATTTTTATTTTCTTTACATTGATGTGCAACCCATACTGAAGACTGTGGTCTTTGATCTTCACCAATAAGTATTATAAGTCCTCTTGGCTTCTAGCAAGCAAGGTTGTATCATCTGCATATCGCAGGTTGTTAATGAGCCTTCCTCCATTCCTGATGCCACATTTTCCTTCATATAAAAAGGACAAATATTGAATGAAGCCATTATTGTACAAGCTTAAGAAGACAAACAAACAAAACAAAACCTGTCCTCTCAACAGGTCCACTATACCCCAAGGCATTGAGTGGATGTTTTTTCATTCATATCTGCAGGTGTTTTGAGTTGAGTCTCTGCATCTTTGGCCATATTCAAAGCCAGCACTGGCCAAGGCAAGCAGGACATGTGAGTAGGAACAGGGGCTTGGCCTGTGGCCCATTCCCAGGTGGCCCACCGCCAGGACTGCTGTTTTTCTGTGCTAACATCCCAGAGTCTAAATTCTTGTAAGGCAGACAGGACAGTCAGACTACAAAAAAAAAAAAAAAAAAAAATTCCCCTGACAGTTAAGTATACACACGAACCAATCAGCACACAGGAATTAAAATTGTTCTTTCTGCTTTCTTTTAAGAATGTGGGTGGCAAATAAGCCCAAAAGAAATAAAAATAGAAACACGGCAGGGCCAGACCTCCCTAAACCGGAAACGACAATATTTATTTGATTAACTCTGTTCCTAAACAGCAGTGTGCTTTACTGGCATGGAGGGCATTCTGCCGTGGAGGGGAGTGTGTCTGTGTGACAGAGTATGCACATCCTCAAGTACATGCATACATACATATGAATAGATAAACATACAGACGTGCCACCCACTGAGAATATTTATTCATGCTGATACAAGAACAAGATTCAGGCTGCTCTTCTTTTCCAAGCCCTCCAAGCATTAAAAATAAGTCACTTTATATAAACATTCTTCAACCTCTTGATTTACAGTGGTTCCTATGAAGGCAGAGCTGCACATTCTTGAAGTTCTCTCCTTTAAACACAAGAGATGGGGGGTAGGGGGTGGGGGGTGGACACAAGGCATGCTGCCTCACAATATAAGAGCATGGATTGAAAGTTACTATCACTGGACTTCTCAAGATCCCCTATCACAGCCCATGCCCTGTCCCCATTCTGCAACTCCGGTCTTTTAGGCTCCTAAAGATCTGAAGCTCCGTGAACCACATCCTCCCTCCCCTAACTGGTTTCACTGGTGCACTTTTATCCCCTGACCATGAGAAAGAGGGTGAATTCAACCAGATTTCTGCTCAATGTTACCTCCTGTTGCCGTAACAACAACAACAACAAAAATTCCACAAGCGGTGGTTGGCTTTGAAGAAGAGAAACTTATTTCCTCACGTTCTAGAGGCTGAAAATCCAAATCAGGGGTCTCGGCTGTGAGGATGCTTTCTGTGGACATCTCTCTTTGCTGCTGCTGTCTGCCAGCCATTGTTGGCATTCCTCTGCTTATAGAAAGGTCCTCACCTGGGTTTGCCTTCCACCGTGTGTGTGCCCGTTTCTCTTCCACTCACTTTAAGAGGCCATTCAGATGGACCCACCCATATGGCACTGTAGGTTATACACGGAACTGCTAACCATAAGATAGGCAGTTCAAACCCAGCAGCCACCCCCAGGAGAAAGAGGAGGCTTTCTGCTCTGGTAAAGATTCACAGCCTTGAAACCCTACTCATGGTCCCTAGGGAGTCAGAATTGACTCTAAAACAGTGGGTTCTGAGTTTCTACTGTAAGGCCTCATTTACATAATGAAAGGAAATCCTTATTTCTAAAAGGAGATGTAGGTACAGGCATTAGGACGTCAACATATCTTTTTTTTGGGGGGGGTACACAGTTCAATCCATAATCCCTACTATCACCTCTACTTCCTGTCTTGAGAATCCACACAGCTGTAAAGGGGCCTAGCTCCCTCCCTCCCACATTCAGCACTGGCTTCTGACAGACAGTCTTTATGCCCCTTGTTTTGGGATAAGCAAAGGGCAACTGTATGCACCCACACTCTTAGAGCGATGAAACAGACTTAAACATGGCCCAGTGCCCACCTGTTGAGCTGCCTGACTCCTTAGAGGCTGCATATGGTAGGGTGGCATACAGAATATTCCGGTTGCTTCTTTTCATCAGGTGTGAGAGGGATAAGGCATGGTCTTGGGAAGGAGAGGTTTGTTCTAGGTTACACTGCAGGCACAAAGTTTTATTTATTCTGATAGCTGCTTAATGGGTCCAACTCAATGATATTCAAGAAGTCTAGGAGCAAGACTGGTTATTTTGGGTATACTCTGAACTTTCAGGGCAGTGATCCCTGGAGGAAAAATTTACCTCCCCCAGAAAGACAAAGAATTCCACAGATACCCTCCAGCCTAGTGGAACCCACCACAGGACAGAGCTTGCTATCATTTAATAAGACCTCTATTGTGTGTCCCATGAAAACATCGGGGGATTTTTCTTCTTCTGGGAACCTGTAATTTGGGAAGTTTGAAGTCTCTTAATTGCACTCTCATTCCTTTTGTAGGAAAAAAAAGTTTTAGTTTGATGGAGTAAATAGACATGGGACAAACTGAAATTTTCATTTAAAAAAAATGAGATCTCTTGCTACAAATCTGACAACTGCAAATGCAAATGTGTTCTCAAGCTCCCACAGAGGAATTGAGCTGCTTCAGAGCCAGGCACAGGGAGGCAAGTAGACCAACCAGTTTGTGTTCCACAACTTTCACTGAGTCTCATCTCTAGGAGGTGGACATTTTGAAAATGAAGGACTTGACAAAGGTTACAAGGTTACTTGAAAGAGTGGGAATTTGAACACAGATTTGCCATTTAACCTCAAAATCCTGTTTTTCGTCTACACTAGGAAATAGGGACCACAGGTCAAATCCAGCCCACTACTTGTTTGTGCATGACCCATAAGTTAAAAATGAATTTTACTTTTTTAAATGATTGCAATTTCTTTCTTTCTTTTTCTTTCTTTTTTAAGACTATTTTAGGACACATGAACATTGTGAAATTCAAATTTCAGTGCCCATGAAAAAGTGTTATTGGAACAGTCATAGCCATATTGTCTACGTCTGTTTTCAGACACAAGACAGAGTTAAGTAGTTCCAACAGAGACCATCTGGTCAGGCCAGAAACATTATTTGACCTTTTACAGAAAAAGTTGACTAACTCTGCCCTTGTTGTTGTTGTTGTTAGGTGCCATTGAGTCAGTACCGACGCATAGCAGCCCTATGTACAATAGAACGAAACACTATTGCCGGTCCTGGGTCAACCTCACAATCGTTGCTACACACAAGCCCATCACTTCTGCCGTGGTACCAATCCATCTCATGGAGGTCTTCCTCTTTTTCTCCGATCCTCCACTTTACCAAACACGATACCCTTCTCCAGTAACGGGCTGCTCCTGATAATATGTCCGAAGTATAAGAGATAAAGTCTAGCCATCCTGGGCTCCAAGGAGCACTCTGGCTGTAATTCTTCCAACACAGATTTGTTGGTTCTTTTGGTAGCCTATGGTACTTTCAATATTCTCTTCCAATGGTGGTGGTTATGTGCTGTGGCGTTGGTTCTGACTCATAGTTACCATGTACAGGGTTTCTGAGGCTGTAAATCTTTACTGGAGCAAAAAGCCTCATCTTTCTCCTGCAGAACAGCTGGTAATTTCAAACTGCTGACCTTGCAGTTCGCAGCCCGATTCGTAATCACTGTACTACCAGAGCTCCTTATTCTCTTCCAATAACATAACTCAAATGCATCAATTCTTCTTTATTCACGGTCCAATTTTCACATGCATATGAGGTTATTGAAAATACCATAGTTTAGGTCAGGCTCACTTTAGTCTTCAAACTGACATCTTTGCTCTTGAACACTTTATAAAGTGTTATGGGATAATATCAAGAACATCATACAGGAAGAAAGCAAAAGGACATTAAGACAAGAAAGAAGGAAAAGACCAAAAGGGATACCAGAAGAGACTCTGAAACTTGTTTTCCAGTGCAGAGAGGCTAAAGCAAATGGAAGAAGTGAGGAGGTACAAGAAAAGAACAGAAAATTTCAAAGGTCAGCTCGGGAAGCCAATGTCAAATATTATAACAAAATGTGCGAAGACCTGGAGTTAGAAAATCAAAAGGGAAGTCAGCTCTGCCAAATCCCAAGACTACAGTATGACTCTAGGTCTAAAGTCCATGTTGTTATAGAAAGTCCTCAACTTGCCTTCTGGAAATTGACCTGGGGATAAACAGTCTGCTATTTCTTCTATGGAGTCCTGGTGTGGCGCTGGAGGATAAGCACTGGATCCCAAGGTCGGTTTGAACTGCAAGGTTGGCAGTTCAAGCTCACCAAACGCTGCTCAGAAACCCTACACAGGGGCACCATAGGTTGGAACCGATTTGACAGCACTTAACAACATTCTTCTATCATGCAAGATCAGTGATATTACATCAGTGGCGAAACATGTCTGAAACCAAAGTGGAGTGAACTTTACATGCCTACAGTCCCTTAGGACTAACTGTCTGTTGCTTTCTGAGTGTGAGAAGAGGCACACTGTCTTTGTTCCTTATTGTCAGATTTCTAGTTCATGGACCATGAAAACAGTATGGGTTTTACGAAAAGAGAATGTGCTTCACAGGACTAAAGCATTTTCACCTGTATGGCCTCTTTCCTCACTCGTTCTTCTGATATGTTATTAGGAGTCTGAGACTGGAGACTTCCAAGCACTAGTACATGAGGTGCTACTTTTTTCACACATTGCTTTACTTTCAATATAAGAGAAAAACTGTCCTCAGGAGTCTCAGTATAAGAGGGAAATTGCTTTGAAAGTTGGGATTAGCAACTGCCTCAATTCAAGAGAAATAAAAGCAGATATTCTTTTTAGTATATACATGTTTTTGAGGTTTTTCTCAGCTACATATGAAAACAAAATCAAAGGCATCAATTTGGGCAGAAAAAAAATTCTACAGATTCAAGGGAGCAGATTTGTATATATAATTCCACTAGCAAAACACAAACAAACAAAACAAAACAAAAAACAACACATACATACAAAATAAAATCCTTTAAGAAGCGAGTTTGGAAGATTTGAATCTTGATTAGGAAAAGGAATATAGCATTAGCATGCATGTGTGTACATTTATGTTTGCTTGTGTGTATGTGTTTTCAAGAAAACATCTGTGTTCAACCAATTTAATACCCTCTGTTATTGCTGTCAGTATCAGAAATAAAAATGCTTACAATTCCTCCATTTAGAATAATCTTTCTCTATTAATGCAAAACCCCAAACACTCTTGAGCACCAACAACAGAAACCAAAATAAAGAGTAATAATTATGTCTGAGAACCTTTTATAACTCCAGCATCTTATACCAGAGACACCAAAGCGGGGGTGAAAAAACCCCACCCAGTGGACACTTGTTCATCTTCCTCTGTAGTGTTACAACAAAAGTTGTTGTAGCTGTCAGGGAAATAGTGAGTTCCATTCAAACAAAGAGAAAAACACAACAGAAACCTTAAATTAAAAATGGAATTTAGAAAAAGCAGGAGTGCCAAGCTTAATAAAAACTCTTCCTCTTCAATCACTAGGCTGTAAAACTAAAAGCAGCATATGTTGGATGTAGCCAAACATCTTATTTGACTCTTGTCTATTTGCCAATGTTTTTCAAAGATTAATAAGATAAAATCCCTTGAGTGTATGCTGTGAGTACTCTGGTATTTTCCACAGTTCCCAGAGCAGAGGTAGTGTGGGTGTGGGTTTATGAAGGCTCTGCTGTTTGGGGTAAGTGTCTACAATAACAGCAGCTGCTTACAGCTCGGGCCTGGCAGCGATGGGGTCTACAATCTGAATGCCAACTGGCGATGACACGGACTGTGTCAAGTAAAGCCAATGACAAAAGAACAGACGTGCTCTGTGTGTCATGGTGCCTGCAGCAATAGAGTCACTGAGGACCAGCAATGGCGGACAAGTATGGAGGAGCCGCAGAGTGAAGTTGACATCAACTCAATAGATGACCACTGTCTTGCCCTCCTCTTCCAAAGCCCAAGCCACCCCACCCCTTAGACCCACATACTTTACTTCACATGCTTGGAAGTTCTAGGCTTTCAACATAAAGGGTAACTCTAAAAATGACTCTGGAGGTATGTACAAGAACCTGTTCTACCCACCTCAGGTTCTTCATAAAGCTCCTAGGCAAAGTGAACTCTGAGAAAGGGTTTGTTAAATACCAGGTGCAGCATTGTAGATAGGGTCTGTTAGGACTCAGGTCTAAAAAAGAACACAAAATTCAAAAAGTACTCTGATTTAGTTGACTCAATTTAAATTTTTGGAAGTCCTGGTGTGGTGCCGAGGGTTAATGCGGCTGTGCTGCAAAGTTGGTTTGAACTGCAAGATTGGCAGTTCAAACTCACCAGCTGATTCTCAGAAACCCTATGCAGGGTTGCTATGGGTTGGAACCAACTCTATGGCACTAAACAAAAATTAAAATTTTTGGAGCGCTCATCTCAAAGGTTGTTGTTATTGTTAAGTGCCGTCATGTTGGTTCCGATGCAGAGCGACCCTCTATAGGGTTTCCAATGAGCAGCTCGTGAGTTTGAACTGCCAACCTTGGAGTTCAGTGCTCCATCCCACAGCACCACTCCAGGACTCCCTTCTAAAAGGTAGGGCTTCCAATTGATCTTGATTTGGAAACTCTAGTCCTTTAAAACCACACTGGAACAATTGGCCAGAATTGTGTGGTGGCTATTCCAACAGTTTTCTAGGTTCTTACTATCTGCTTGCTAATTCATTGTTGATGCCTCCCTGCACCTTCTGATCTACAGACATTAAGCTTTTTAATCACCTGTTCTCTCATCTGTCATTCAACAATGTGCATTTCATGGGTCAGATAGCTGAGGTGACTTCACCATGATCTCACAGCCAGACGTTGCTGAGACAGGGCTAGAGGCCACATGGGAGGAGAGATCTTAGGGCCAGAGGCCCTTGGGAATCATCTGGCTATTAGAGATCATCACAGCCTATGTAGGTTACTACAAGGTTTTTGAGAAAAATTTCACCTCAAATGGATTTCTCCAGCAGAGGCCATATCTGGGTTTTGGAGTCTACTCCTGGCTCCAGAGAACTGTGTGATTTTGGACAAGTTTCTTCATCTCCTTGTCTACTTTTCCTCTTCTCTAAAACGTAGATGAAAACAGTATTTATCTCCTAGGATTGTGTGCAGATTACATGAGGTAATGCATAAACACATTTCTGACAACACTTTCCCCACAGGTGTACTCAACATTCTGCCCTATTATTATACCCTCACAAGCTGAACGTAGCAAATGGAGAGAGAAAAATGGAGTTATTACAGGCCATTTAAAGTTACTGCACGTAGAAATAATCTCTAAGACATAAACATAAATCTCTGCTTTAGAATAATTATACTTTTAGAAACAAATGAAGTAAAAGGAAAGACAGTAATGATCTGTCATTGTGGAATCACCATGTGCAGGAACTGGAAGGAAAACTAAACCTTCCCTAATCCAGTGGAATTAACACTTATTTTAGCAGCAGAAGCCATGCCTTCTAACACAGTCTTACACAGAAGCCATTAAAGATAGAGATAAAGCAGCTCTGGCTGAGGAGGTGGTTAGGACCCCAAACTACCAGAACTTCACAAAACCTGTGCACCATGAACCATAGTTTGATAACCACTGATTTTTGCTACACCCTTTTCTTTTATTAGTGGGACGATTAAGACCTTTTGTATCTCTGCAGAGATTAGGTGCATACTGAGGATGAAGTCTGGACCATTGCTGTATCCTAACCTCTAGCTGTGTACTTGCAGCACAGTAGACTGGTTGCACTAAGGTTTTTGTGAGAAGGCATGCTAGCATAGGTGAAGTGCCAAGCTGAAGAAGTGGGGGGATGGACTTCTAAGGCATGAGACCCTAGTTATGACTGCTGCCAGCAGGGGCAAACCCCCCACGATCATGGCCTAGTCATAAGGATGAAATGGGGGCTGACTATATGGTTGATTTAGAGATAGCAGGTGCGGTGGTCAACAATCATGGCAACCCCATTTGTGCCAGAGTAGAACTGCAGAATGTAGGGTTTACATGTCTGATTTTTCAGAAGTAGACACCCAGGGGTTTCTTCCTAAGTGCCTCTCTGTGGACTCAGCCCTTCAATCTATTGGTTGCCAGCTGAGCAAGTTAACCATTTGTACCATCCAGAAGGATCTCCATGAGTTGGAATGAACTCTACAGCAACAGGTTTTAGGAAAATATAAGAAATGGGACTAGATGCCATCTAAAAAACCAAAGTGAAGGGGCATCTGGATGCATTCCAATTCTGCCCAGAGATTTGGGAGCCGCTGGTATTAATTTCAAAGTGAGAATCCACCTGCATCAAAAGCACTTGGGAACTTAATAAAAATGCAAATTCATGAGTCCCATCCCAGGTTGACTGAATTTCCAGTAGGAGAGCCCATGTAGGAAGCTTGGTGGTGCAACAGGTAAGCATTCAGTTGTTAGTTGAGAGGTTGGCTATTGGATCCCATCCAGCATCTTTGTGAGAAAAAGATCTGTGATCTGCTTCTGTAAAGATGGCCATCTAGTCTGTTACACGGGGTGTTTATGATTCCAACTCAACTCAATGGTACCTAACAACAACAGAGCCCCTGCAGCTACGACGTCCTCCACACGTTCCCAGGTGGTCTTGCGCAGGTAAAAGTTTAAGCACCATTCTCAGTCTCACTTGGCTCACCCATGAAGTCACATGAGACTCATTTGGAGACCTTTCTGGCCCCATCTTAGAGATTCTGATTTCATAGATGTAGGCTTGAGGCCTGAGAATTGGTAGACTTTTTGAAATCTCTCCAAGGAGCATGTGCAACCAGGGCTGTAAAGCATTCATAAGTGGTAGCCAGAGGAGAATGAGAGCCCCACCTGCAATCATCTGCTTTCATACCCGAAACAGCTGGGCTGGGTGAGGGCTTAGGAAACAGGTCCTGGAGGCTAGGTTCACAATCGTGGCACCCAGTAAGGCTGGACAAAGACCTGAGAGAGCATCAGAGTCTGCTGAAATCTTAAATCAGCTTATAAAGCCTCTGACACCATCCTGGGCAGGTCTTTCCATTCAGTGGCTAGCAAGTCTGCGGTCTCTGCCTGTGTAGATTACCTCTACCACCTGTGTCCATGGAGGGCACTGTCACAGTGAGACTCCTTAGCAGTGGAGTCTTCATGCGGTTCTCTGTGACATGGATGATTTTTGTTATCATAACCTACTGAAAATGCGATATTGTAAGTTGGCTATTAGAGATAAGTTGCTACTGTTCCTTTCAGTTTGTCTTGTTAACCACCCCAGCCATCAAGAAGAAAAGAGTTTTCAGGAAAGATCCGTCAAAATATTGTTCTTGTGAAAACTGAAGTTGTTTCAAAAATAGGTTGAATGCATTTACTATGCATACTTTACAAACTTTATTCGAGTAAATTTTGCCTTTAATAAAATACATCTATTTAATTGTACAGTTTGATGGGTTTTGTCATGTATATGATCCTCTGTAATCACCATCACAATTAAGACATATGCAGTTCCGTCATCCCAGAAAATTCCCTTTTGCCTTTTTGCAGCTGATCCTGTACCTTCACCCATGGACCCATACAACCACTGATCTGCTTTCTGACACTGGATTAGCTGAACCAGTTCTAGAATTTCATTTAAATGGAATCAAACAGTAGGAACTTTTAGTGACTGGATTCCTTTGCTCAGCACAATATGGGTAGGATTCATCCATTAACATGTATTATTATTGGACAATTTTATCCGTTATTTCTAAACTGTGGAGTCCTGTGGGTTAATGTGCTGGACTGCAATGTCGGCTTGAACTGCAAGGTTGGTGGTTCAAGCTCTCTAGCTACTCCTCGGAAACCTTATACAGGGTAGCTATGGGTCAGAACTGACTTAAGAGCACTTAACAACAACATATTTCTTAACTGGATCCATAGTCAGTACCTGAGCGCTGCAGGAGACAGAGCAGGGTTCTGGCATGGCTGAAGGCAGATGACTGCGAATTGAAAGGGATGTGAGAAAACAGAGGCCAGTGGCTAGATCGTTGGTTCTAGGAGTTCAGCTAGGAAAGGGAGGAGGAAGAGCTCTCACTGAGGTAAAGGACGTTTTCACTTGGAGCGTGATTTCTGGAACAAGGAGTGCTTTGAAGAAACAGCCAAACCAACAACCAAACCCACTGTCACCAACTCACTCTGACTCATAGCAACTCACATAGGGTTTCTGAGGCTGCAAATATTTATGGGAACATATAGAACAGATAGCATCCCCTCTATCCACGGAGCAGCTGGTAGGTTTGAACTACCGACCCTACAGAGACATTGCGCTTCCTTGAAGAGGCAACAGGATGTGTAAATAGAAGATAGGGAAGTCAGAGGACAAAGACTAATGACCAGTTTAAAATATTAGGGTTGAGTGACAGCTTAAAAATATGTACAGAATCTTATTGATTTCCTACCTTCGAGAGGTGGAAATTACCCCCCCCACCCCCACCCCTTGGATGTGCTCTGGACTTAAGGACTCACTTCCAAAGACTAGAGAACGGAGAATGGATGGGTGGTTCCTCTGACACTAGCCCACAAAAGATGTTCTCGCTTGCATCTTAGTTGTCCTCTCTGTGGTCAGGGAGGTCTGAGAGCAGGCAGCACAGACGTAATATGGTGTCCAATGGAAGGAAGTGGGACATGAGGAAAGAACAACTAAACTGAGACTTTCAGGATGAGTGTGACTTAGGAAGATGTGGAGGCTGAGGGTCTCCTGGACAAAGGTCTGAAGATGAGAGGCCATGGTCCATCAAAAAACTTCTGGAAGATCCCTGAGTG